GCTGTTTCCAAAGAGAGCACTTAACTTTTTCTCCGAAGGACCAGGGCTGTTCTGTGCGGTCGATGGGAGAGAAACGTTGCCTTAAAAATGAAAGGTGCAGGCGGTGGCCGTCACGTAGCGCGTCGCCGTCCCCAAAGTGGCTCTGGCGGCTGGCAGGGCGCACGCAGCCCTTCCGCAGGGCCTGGCGGGGAGCCGGGGCGCCGGCCTCCCCACTCAGGAGTCCAGCTGGCGGGCGTCCTGGCTCCACCAGGGCTAAAATGCAAAGGGCGGGTGGTCCGTGGCCTCGGGCCAGGTTCACGTGGGCCCCCAGCATCTCGTGATCGCAAACACGTGTGGGACAGGGGGCCTGGCAGCCGCCCTCACCGACGCCCCGGGGAGAGGACCCTCCCCAGCCAGCTTGCAGGGTCCGCTGGGGCGCAGCGTCTCCCCGCCCGGGTCTGTTCGGGGCCCTTCAGTGTTCCGGTTTGTGGCCATGCTCGCCGGCTTCGGTGACCCAGGAACCCGTAGACCTAGAGGGAGTGGAATCCAGACCTTTATTTTGGGGCTGACTCCGGCTCCCGCAGCCCAAGCGGGCAGAGAGCTCAAAGCGAAGGTCGCCTGTGTGAAGGGACAGGTCGGTGACAGGACTCAGCCACTGGGGGCTGGCCTCGGGCTCACGTCCCAGACGGGAGAGGGGGGAGCCCCTTCGTGTTAGCTGTGCGCCTGCGGCCATCTGGGAAGACAGAGACGCACGCCGCTCCCGGGTCGCATGCTGTGGATGGGAGCGTGGTCCGGGGTGGCTGCCACGCCCTGCACCCCGCCTGCAGCACCACAGGCGAGGGAGGCAGTGGGGTACCCAGACCTCGCCACGCCCGGGGTCACAGCTCGGACCCGTGAAGGGTGATTCAGAGGCTGGGACGGACAGCTGGGCCACAGGTGGCCCCCAGCCCGCCTATTGGGACACGCAGAGAGGGCTGGATGCTTTCTGTGGCCCCGGCCGCCTTTCTTGCCAGAAGCAGGTGCTCAGGTGACCTCCACAGGGTCCCAGCATCCCCCAGACTCTGGTGTTGGTCTCAGCAAGCACGAGGGCCACCTCGCAGGGAGACGCGGTCTGAGCAAGTGTCCCCTCGTTCTCAGCCGGTGGCGTTTACAAGGCCACCTGATTATTTTGACATCTATCTGCCAGGTGTCACTGATTTTTTTCTTTTTAAACTCACTTTTAAAAAGTCACTCAGTCAAGTCAAAAAGTGCCAGGAGATTTAAGGGGCCAGAAGGACGGTCACACCGCACGCAGCCAGGTAGAAGTGCCGTGTGGGTGCGGGTCCCCGTCCTGCGCTCCGCAGAGGTTGGTTCCACGTGCGGTCCTGGTGACCACGTTTTCCAAAGCCAGCGTCCGTCGAGGCCGTGGGTGACACATGTTGAGTTCAGGATCGCCCTGGAGGAGCCAGGTCCCGTGACCGACTGCCTGACTTGGAGGCTGGCTCCCGCAGGCTTGTCCCAGACACATTCCAGAGAATTTTGTACAGAACTGGATGCACAATCCAGCTTACTACTGATAAATGCCTGAACATCGAACACCGTGCCGGGCGAGGCCTCCGGTCCCCGGCGAGGGGGCCCCACCTGCTTTCTGCTGCCCCCCGGCCCGCGAAGGTACTGGGCTCGCTCTGCAGCCACCGGCCCTGCCCAGGCTCTTCTCAAGCAGCTTTAAAACCTTACTACTATTTAAACATGAGCAGGAAGGGAGGGGAGTGGCGTCCCTGTCCCACGCCTCGCCTTCCCTTGGCAGGACACAGGACACGTGGGGAGCAGGCGTGGACCCCGGGAGCAGCTCGCTCCCAGGGCTTGGGGGCGTCGTCCTGGTGACGTATCGACAGGCTCATTTACAAACCGAATGCCTGCGAGGCAGCCACAGGTCTGGCCGAAGGCTGTCTGTCCGTCCCCGCCCAGAACATACCTGGCCAGGTCCCTCCCCAGCCTGCCCTCCATGGGGACAGAGGGGTCCACCTCCCAGGGGGGCTGGGACAGCCGTGGAGGCACCATTCCCGGGGCAGGCTGCCTGCCTCTGGGTGTGTGGCTGGGAGACGTTGCTCCCTGGCCTCCCCTTGGGGAGTCCCCATGGGTCACGTGGCGGGGACCCTGGGGGGCTCGCGGCGCGGGCATGTGGCTGCCCTGAGCGGCTGTGCATCATCGCAGGGTGCCCCACGGGCCAAGTGGCGGGGCCCCCGGGGGGCTCGCGGCGTGGGCACGCGGCTGCCCTGAGCGGCTGTGCATCATCGCAGGGCGTGGGCTGGCGGTGGCTCCCACGTGGCCAGGAATTACTCGCGTGGGTGTGCTGGGTGCATGCACGGGGGTCTCGGCCACCCCCAGACCCCCACAGATGAGCCCCTCCCCATCCAAAGCCATTGGTGGAGCATCTCCGGACTCGTGTGCCAGCCCCAGGGCAGAAGCCGAGGGTCCGAGACCGCTCCGTCACACACACGTTTTCCTTTCCCGTAGGGACTTTCCTTTAGCCAGCCAGCATCACACCCCGCTTCCACAGGCCACGCGTCCCCTTCCCGGGGCCACCCCAGGGAAGTATGACCGTCGCACAGGTCCCTGTCTGGCCTCGGCTTGCTCGGATGAAACTTTGTATGTATTTTGTATGGCATAGATTCTATATTGTAATGATGTCCTATGCAAAAAAGAAAAAAAAATTAACTAAATTGTAAATTTTATTGTTTTAACGTGTATGCATGTTTAGTGACGTTTACATTTTGAAATAAAATTTATGATTCATTATTGTACTTGCCTGAGCCGATTCCTTTGCAGGGCGGGCCTCGGACAGGCTCTGGGCGGCGAAGGGGACCGAAATGGACCAGCTCGAGCAGCCGCGTGCAATGGTCCGAGGGGCGGGACCGGCCTGGACCCTGCAGAGGGCGTGGCCTGCCCGCTCCCCCCGCCCCTCCCCGAGAAAAGCTCCGCCCCTCAATCCAGCTGCTGCGGGAGGCCGAGGTGGCAGGTCCACGCAGGGCCCAGCGCGTGTCCCTGGGCGGCCGCCCTCAGCCCCAGGCGGCTTCGGAGGCCCTGAAGTCGGTCGCTCTGTCCTGCCACTCAGCCAGGTGACGGCTCACCTGCCCCTCTCCCAGAGTCCAGAACGCGCCCTGTTCGCAGACACCAACGTCCCCAAGGGTGGCCATGGGAAGTGGCCCCAAAGGGGACAGGCCCGGGGGCACTAGGGGGCTGGGGGTGGGACCCCAGAGCCCCTCTACGCCTCCCGTGATCATTAGCTGCCCCTGGCTGCTCCCCAGAGCGGAGCTTGTCCACGCAGGCAGCAGAGAACCCACAGCAGCGGGAGGAAGTGGGTGACGGGGTCTGGCCCCCCCACATTCGCAGACCCAGGCCTGACCCCGGACCATCTGCGAGGCTTGTTTAGAGGGTGTATGTGAAATACAGTAACAGCAGAAGGCGTAGCAGCTGATCAAAGATGGTTTCCCCTGAAGCCGCGTGCCCACCAGCAAGGCATTCGCAGACCCAAGCGAGTTTTCTGTGCCGTAGACTGGGGCGTGGGTATGGCGCGCACCCCAGCACGTGATGAACCGTCGAGACAAACGCCCAGCCTGCCCTCTGGGAGCCGGCTCGCTGGTGCTCCGGGCGCCCCAGGCCACAGCGGCCCGCCTGGAACCCCGTCCGTAAATAGTGATGTGTGGGAGGGCCCCAGATGCTTTCAAAATATTGACAGGAAAAAAACCGAAAAGCGGTTGTCAGTTGTGACGCTGCTGGGGTTTGAGAGAGGGTGTGGGTTCTGCTGGGAAGACAGGACCTGGCTTTTGGGGAGGCCCTTCTCAGGAAGCGGGAGACCCCAGCTGTGTAGGAGGACGGAAACAGGCAATAGGCTTTGCAGGTGTTTGAAAAACAAACAGGGCCGAGGCTCTGCCCCTGCCCCTGCCCCCCACACGGGGTCCTCCAGGCCCGGCCTCTCAGCGAGGGGTGACGCGGTCACCCCCGGCGGCCCTGGCTGAGTGTCAACAATAAACGTCAGTATGTCTGCGTGGGGTGCCTGCTGGCGAGGTCATCGGCACACTCTCTTCCCCACTGGCTTGGGGAAGAAAGTTATGGGGTGCCGACCCCTCAGCTAGACCCCTCAGCGACTCCACGTCTGTGGTCTCCCGTCTGTGTTCTGGTCTTTTTGACCCCAATCCAAGAGGGGGCGCCTCCACCGTGGAGGTCAGGGGGCCTGAGAGGCACCCACAGTGGGTGTTAGGGTGAGCTTGTGCTGGGTGGGGGGTCGAAACTTACACTTCCTTTCTTGTGAATGCTGCAAATATTAAATAATATTTAAGTTATGTTAAAAATACCGAAATGTTTAAAACAGCATAAATAGGAATAGGAGATTAAATGAACTATGGAACATCCAGTATCTCCAGGTTATAAAACAGTAGCCAAAGTATAATCACATTTTATTAAAAGTTTTCTCGATAGCTATGTGATTGTGTTACATATTATGTGCGCAGGACGAATCCTGATACAAGGCGGCGAAGGCCAGCAGCTAGCTTTTACCAGTGGAAAGCACAGATTCTTTTTAGTCACGTATTTTTATTTTCTAATTGTTCAAAACTATGCAGGTGTAACTTTCACAGCTAAAAACCACAAAGGCACTTGTGTGAGGCTAAGAGTTTGCGAAGAGTGAGCTGGGGAGTCTCTGCCCTGCCGCACCCTGGGACATGTCGCCCAGCACCCATGGCTGTGCCCTTAGGGAGACCGACCCCCCAAAGGTCCCCAGCGTGCCTCCACACGAGGAGCCACGACGCAGAACTGCAGGCATCAGCCTCAGAACAAAGCTGCACGAAGATGGCGAGGTGCCAGACGGAAGCCCTGCCACAGAACGAGCTGGAAAACAGACACCACGTGTTGCTTGTGCGTCCATACCCACAGGCCAGGGGCACCCAGCCACACGGGGAGTCAGGCCCGGGCTGGGAAGGGCCCCCCCCCCCCCGCCCCCCGCATCTGTGGCGTTTGTTTTTCTTTCTCCCTGGGTAGGAATGTCCGACACTTGACACGGTCCCCGGGTGTGGCGCCTGCGTGTCATCTGCAGGCTGACCGTGCAATGTGCATCCTGAAGCGTGCTGACATGGCTGCGGGCTGTCCCCGTCCCCTGGAAGCGAGCTCTGCCAGGGAGCCGGGCACCTGCGGCTGTGCCGCTGGCAGGGCCATAGGTCGGGCAAGGACAATAACAATAGGAACCGCGCAGGCGGGAGGCAGGAGGGCGGGGCCGCCCCCCCCAAGACGAGCCTCGGTTGCCGGGAAACCGGAGCGGGGGCGGGGGCGCCCTGCGTGCGGGGTTCCCAGTCTCCTCTGGCACCTGGGGCGGGCGCTGAATCCTTGGGGGAACGTTCGAAAGTTCTTTCCCGTTTCGTGTGTACGGCAGGGCAAAGGAGACGTGCTCTGTGTCCATTTGGTGACGGTCGTAAGAAGATTTGACAAAGTGCCAGTGCAGATGCTCGACCAAGGGGAACGGCCAAATCTGTTGACGCCGCTTCATGTAGAGTCCGGGTGTTCCGAGGACTTCGGAATTCATTCGATCGTGGGTTTCATTGTCAACACTTACAGATTTTAAAACCTAAGTAATACATAGGAACAAGGATAAAAAAACATCAAATAATAGTAAGGAACCTAGTGATAAATGTCTCTCCTCTCCCTCTCGCCCCTGATCCCTACCAAAGAAAGTCCCACTACCCCAGGACTACCCTCCCCCCTTTTTATTATTATTATTTCTCTTTTTAACTGTCTCATCGATTATTCCTGCAAGCGTCGACGAAACGCTCTGTCCGTGCTCCTGTTTTGTGACTTAGGAGGATTGGACAGATACACCGGCTTCCTGATGGAAAGGTGAGTCACGAGCTCCAGCGCCTGCACCTGCCTCTCCCTCGCAGGAAGGTCTGAGCCGTCCTGTGGTGCCCGCGGCTTTCCATCCGCTTCGTCCGCCGCGAAGGTGGCTTCTGAGGGTGCCGCGCCGCAGCCGCCACCCGCCCTGGGCTCCCAGCGTGTCCAGCGTTGCATGCACGTCACTTGCTGCACGGCGGGGCCCTGGGCCATGGGACGTTTTCCTCTCTGGGAGCCTACGGGCACCCTCTCCTCCGGCCACTGCAGGAAGACAGTCTTAGCATCAAGGGCACATTGGGTGAACGCATCTTACACTCCATCAGTAGCTTAAAAGCATGTCGCATTGTAGTTTGCTTCATGTTTGAAGCTTAAATGTATTATATCCTTTTTTCTCTGGAGCTTTTAATTGCCCGCCTCGCTTCTTGTTCAACTAATATGGTGTCTCTGCCATGGCCTTGCTTCCCGCCCCTCCCCCCACCCCCTTTTTGTCTCAAAACCTCCTCCCCAGCCCTCTCCCTGCTCCCACCCCGATCCAGCACCCCGGGCCCCCTTTACTGCCTCCAGGGGTCACTCTATAGTCCAGATGTCCCATCTTTCTCTTTCTTAGTTTTTTCTCTCACTTTGCTGGAATACACCCTCAAGGGACTGTCCAAGAAAGTCCTCGAAGGTGTGAAAATACCTTTATTCTGTCCCGTACTTGACAGATAATTTGGCCCAAACCAGAAAACTAGGTTCAAAATGACTCGCTGAGTGTGTTCTTACATTCACCGCTACCTACCCGCAGGCAGCCTGATGCCTTGCGATTCTCACACCTGGGCTCATTCTCCCACCTGGGCCGATTCTCGCACCTGGGCCGATTCTCACACCTGGGCGGGTTCTCGCACCTGGGCTGCTAGCGTTTGCTTTTACCGGCTTTGAAGGCTTTCGGGCTTCCCTTGCTCCCTGTGGTCCTGGCTTCCTGCGGATGTTTCTGAGGGCGATCCTGGCCCTGCGTCCCCCCGGCCATTCCGTCTGAAGACCCCCGGCTCCTTTAGCACCGGAAGCTGCTCCCCTCACGTCTTGGTGCTCTGTCCTCCCTCCACGTTCAGTCCGTTTTGTCTCGTGGAAGCTGCGGGCGGACTCAGGGGGTCTCCTGTCACTTGGCGCTTCTGGATCATCGTCGCGTCCGCCTTTCCTCCCGCCTCCTGGTCTGCTCCCTGAGCTGGAACCGGCTCCTTTGCGCAGACGGCGCCTCGCGTCCCCTCCCAGCCCTTCCTGGCACCCCTGTCCAGGCGGTGGCAACGGCCCCTCAGCTGGAGGCACCTCGTCCTGACCCTTACGGGGCTGCTGAAACAGGAGAGAACGATGATTCTCCACTACGAGCCTTCTCTACCGGGCAGAGGCCTGTAGGGG